TTTATCTCAACTGAAAACCTTAATTAATTATAAGATATTAATTGGTCAAGCGGACCACGAAACTAGTGAATTTAATAAGTTTAAAATAAAGTATACTTCACTAAAGCTCTCCGTGGCCATTTCATTTGTCGCCGAGAATCAAATTGATTACACGACATTTGAAAAATGGCAAAAAGGAGGGGAAATTCAAAACGTGGGGTTGAGATGGGAAGTTAGTGTCCGAGTGGATCGAGGTCCTCAAGTGGTAGAGCAGCGGCATATCAAGCCGAAGATCGTGGGTTCGAATCCCGTTCGTGCCAATGACTTTTTTATCTCAACTGAAAACCTTAATTAATTGTAAGATATTAATTGGTCAAGCGGACCATGAAACTAGTGAATTTAACACACAAAGGAGATCTTGGCAACATTCTGTATTGTTATTAAATAAATCATTGACCTAAGGACCTTTCAAGATAATAAGTTTTATATTTGAATTTTATAAACAAATATACACGCGCATATCTGAGACACACGTATTATACAACATTGAAACCTGTAAAAATATACAAGCCGGCGTCCCACAAGGGAGTGAGTATTTTTGGTTCCATCCTTTATATTATTTATACTACTGACCTATGGATGGATAGCATTGCAAATAATTATTAAAGTGTTTTATTACGTAGACAACAGCCAAAGTCTCCAACTCGTAGGAATGGTAATTTACTTCTGTTGGAGTTGTTCGCTTACTAAAATATGCGACAACATGAGGTTTACCCTCAATTATGTGAACTAATACGGCGCCAAAACCAACAGAACTTGCAGCAGTGTGTAATTCGATGGGGTATTTTGGGTCAAAAATAATCAAAATTGGTGGAGTCGGAAGTAGGGAAATTATTTGTTGCCTAATTTCTTCATGATCCTCGGTCCAATTAACAATCTTACTGTTTATATTGGCTTCAGATTTTCGGGTATTACAAATTGCCGGAAATAAGACGCTAATCCTAGGAACTGTCTCAATGTGCGTATTGTGGAAGGAGGCGGTGATTTGATTAAGGCTTGATTTTGGAAGAATTCGGGCGAAGTTCGCCATTTTCCACTTCATAACCTAAATATTTTATTTTTTTAACCACAAAGGAGCATTTAGATAAGTTAGTATAGAAAACCCAGCATTGGTAAGGACTTCCAAAACGTGATCTAGAAGCGTAAGGGATTCATCACAGGTCGTAGCCGTGATCAACAGATCATCCATATAGCATACTGCATAGCTATGAGCTAAATCTCCTAAGGCGTTCATTATCGCTCGTTGATACACACTAGGCCCATTACGAACGCCAAAAGGCATAGCCAAAAATTCCCACTGGGAATCGGGCGTAACAAAAGAAGTCTTTTCGATTGATTCCTCTTCAACAGGTATTTGATAGAATCCGCTAGCCATATCGAGAAAAATTTTGAACCACTCAGACGGGCAATTTGATCAGATATTAGTGGGAGGGGAAACGATCAGGGATTGTATTTGAATTTAGCATTCTATAATCTACCGCCATTCGGAAATCCCCTGTTTTCTTAGCAACTAATAAAATCGGACTAGCAAATGGAGACAACTTGGCCGAATTACACCGGCTGCCTCCAACTCAGCTATACGCTTTCGAACAATTTCGCGATTTACCGGGCTTAACCTATATGGTCGTCTATTAACGACTTTACTTGGATCAATTAAACGGATACGAAATTCACCGGTAGTTACCCGGCTAGTCGGTATACCGTTAATAAAATGTTTTTCATATTTTGTTAAGATAGCACAGTTCATTTCTTCGATCAAGGGGAATATCAGTAGGCACATTTTCAAAAATATTTTGAATTTTGTCAAAGCTCCTTACTACGTCTCTAATCAAAATTCAACATTAATGTTGTCAACTGATCCGTTCCCGATTCCAAAAGTTTCAAACCGACCTCTCGATTCACCTAACCCTACTGTTCGAGCCCTCTATACATTCCCAACCCAAGAACTCGCCACGTTGCCTTAATGTACGATGTCCTATAGACCTCGTAGCCCCTAAATACCTCACACTGAGTGCCAGCATTGGCTGGTTTCCCATGGCGTGTGACCTCCGGGTGCAGCTCAGTGCTGTGACCGTGTGAAAAAAACGTATTGTAATCACCTTCGTAATATGTACTAACATGTATAGGGTACAAATAAAATAATTTAAAAAGCTTAAATTTGTAAATTAATTATAGTTTCAAACTCCTTATGGAGGGCATATATTCCTCAAAGGCTCACGAAAGAATTGGGTGTTTTATAGCCAATTGGCCGTATCCTTATTTTTAATACACAATTATAATATCAATGGCTGATATTTGATATATTTGGCTGATATCCTACTAATTTCCCATTATTGATTATCTTTACTGCGCAGCAAACAACTCACTAAACTTCAAATAATATGCTTTTTTCTCGCTTTTTTGGCGTTGGAAATTGTCAATTTTTATATTTTAACATAACACCTAAATAATTTAAACAAATAATTACAAGAATAGTATTGTTAACAAAAAACCAAACCAAAATAAATAATTTTTGTATTTTAATGGAGCACATTTATTTTTCAACAAATAATTACATGAATCGTAGGGTTAAATCGTCTAGTTTATGATCCAAAAAAGGTTTTATTATAAAAACCAAGTTCACGAATAATTTTTTGAACCGCTGTACTAGCCCAGTTTGTTTTCTTCTTATCTTTTTCTCAGTTATGTTTTTATGTTTTGATTTTCGCCTAACCACGGGCAGACGGTTTTAAAAAAGTCGAATGTATGCTTATACATAGATGCGTAGTATTTAATGACCGTTAATTAATTATTAGTTAGATATCAAGAGATATTTTCTTTATCGTGCCAACGTTTCGACCTTTATTGAGATCATCTTCAGAGCCTGGAACAAATATTGTTTAGATTATAGAAATACATGTAAGATGTGAATATGAATTTATACAAGTATGTACACAGTGTTGAAATTTTAGGTTAAATCAAAGTGTGTGTTTTCTGTGTTGATGTGGCACAGTTATATGGCGTGCTAAGAGTATTAACTAACTTATGTAAATTCATTTTCGCATCTTACATTATTTGCATAATTTAACCAATCTTTATAAATCCCAGGCCCTGAAGATGATCTCAATAAAGATCGAAACGTTGGAACGATAAAGAAAATGTTTTTCTCTAAATAATCTTCATAAAGTATGTACTTTTATTATTTTCATTTTATTTATAAATTGTTAAAGTCGTGAGGAGCGGTCAAGAATGAGGTAGTTTAGCGTTTCGACCTTTATTCGGGTCATCTTCAGGGGGGTAAATTACAAACCATATATTGATTGGAAAAAAATACAATTTAAGATGTAAATATAAATTTTGAACCAAGTATTTCATCGTCACATAAAATGTGGTGCTAGTCTTGTGGTGTCATATTGGTTTTGTGTGAAAATGTTGTAAAACGTGAATTTGTATTCTGCTGGTTTTGTGACAGGGTGACGCGCTAAATCTGGGAAAATTTCTTTGATCATAGTTTTATTTAACTCAAAGGAAGTCGAGAATGGGGATTTTCTGTGTTCGGCATTCAATATTGGAAAGGAAATTAATTAAGGACTATAAACGAAGGAAAGAAAAAATAAAATTAAGGTTTTTCTTTCTCAGGTTCAAAATATTAAAACGTTTGTTTCTAGTCTGAATAAGTACCACACTGGCTCTTTTTTTAAATAAATTGTTATAAAATATTAATGACTGACGACCACTTTTTTAACCATTGCGTTAACTCACCTGAGGAAGGATTAAAATAAATCCGATAAAAATTGGTTGTGGTTTTTTGAGACCTTCAAGAAGGAAGAATCATAAGAATAAAATTAAGGCTTTATAGTTTATTAATTGCTTTAAGATGTTGGTGTAGCTTCGGCTCAGTTTGTAAATATCTGTTCTGTAATTAATGTTCTGTGTCTCTCTGTTATTGTAAATCATTTCTAGAAAGTTGCGTTTGTATTTGTTTTATTTCGTGTTTTGTATTTGTATTTTGTCGAAATCAAAGTTGTGTTGTTTTTCAAAGTGGTGTGTGTCCAATGCTGTGGGATTGGTTTTTAGTGTTTTACAGTCATAAATGTTTTGTTTTTTCCGTTTTTCTAATATTGAACATTCTAATATAGCTGGACAGTTCATAAATTAATTTTATAAATTACATCGGATTTGTATGCTGTTGGTGTTGGGTCTTTCTTTGGAAAAAAGTGTGTACTGTATTATGGTTTTTAAAAGCTGCTTTAATGTGTTCTGAGGAGAAAAATTTACTTAATTTGTGTGACAATGTGTGGATGAAGGGAATGTATATTGGTTTGTCTTTGTATGATTGTGTTGATGATGTGTTGTATACTGTGGATAGATGTTTTGTGTAATGCTGGGTTATAATTGTTTATGATTCTATTCATTATGCTTTTAGGGTAGTTATTGTTATGTAAGATTTCTCTATATGTTTGGATATTTTTCAGGTGAAAGGATTCATGGCTTAGAGATATGATTCTGTGTAAAATTCCTTTAGCCGTGTTTAATTTTGTATGTAGGGGGTGGTGTGATGTACAAATCCGATGTAATTTATAAAATTAATTGTATGAACTGCCCAGCTACGTACATTGGAATTACATTTCAATATCTAGAATATATTTAGATAAGATTTAGAGATGTGCAGAATGTAATTAAGCTGCCAAACGGACTGATTTCAAATCGAAATGCCCGCTATTACTTCGACTTATCGTTAACACAACCAAAAAAGTGTCGGTACATTGAACTTGAGGCTTTATTGACTTAACATATTTAAAAAAAAATGATGGCGTAAAATTGAAACAGTGCCAAACTTGGAAATACTCAAGACTGGCACCGGTGGAAAGAACAAAGACGCCGACAACAAGGGTGGTCAAACTGAAGATAATTTGACCGTCAAACGTGGAATTAATCCATCAGGCCACCAAACTCTAGCGGCCTAACTCTAGCGGCACGAATTAGAAACTTAGCAATTTGGAAATAATGGTTCTTAGAGAGATTGTTACTTTTGAAGTCCTACCGTCTGTTTATGTCTAGTTTTCCCGCTGTAAACAAAACATCGGGATTATTAAAATTGAAATTAACCCTTTTTATTCAAAAATGTCGCTGGAATCGATATCAGTAAGGGACCGCGTGACCGATATGAACGAACGGTTCTGCCAGGCGAAACCTGTTCAAATCGGTTGCGAGGTTAGACGAATTGATCTCGAAACAGGCATCAAGCCCGAAGGTACGTAGACCTGGAACTGAATGTATGAATTGTATTTGTTGTAAGTTGCTCATTGACCTGTGCTTTCAATAAAACCATTGACTAGACTGCTCATTGACCGGACAAGCAGAAACGCCAGCGTTGGAAAGCATCTTAAAGAGAAAGACAACAGGTGTCGTTTTTATTACTAATTACGCTGTCTATATTTCTCTTTAATCGTGTCTGTCGGAAAAGCTCTTTCTTTCAACTTTAAGTTAAAATAAATTGAACATTTTTTGCTCCTTTCTCGAAGGAATGGCAGAAAAAACCGACAAACTTTTTACATTTAATCTTTTCTTTTCTGCCCGTGTTATTTCAAAAGTAAAAGCTTATTTTACCCAATGTTTTTTAATGATATTCTCAAAATACAAACAAAGTTAAATTGAAAATCCTATAACAAAACATAATAATAGCATGATTTGGCCAAAAGTTTTCCATTCAAGAATTATCAGAATCAAATTAATCCATAAAGCTTTTAAAATGATAAAAATAACATTAATATGAAATTAAATAGCTTAATTATTCTTTTTTTAAGTTCACATCAGTGTTTTTTTTTTAATTGTAAATAACGTTTTATTTTTCATACTCCTAAACTGCAAATTGAAAATTTTACATCAGAATTGGGCCTTTCAAAGTTCACTTGAAAAACTACAAATTTTCCTTTTAGCCTAATAAATAATAAATATCCATGTCTGTATTAATTAATCATAACGACGTTTGTAACATTTGGGTTGCATTCTGATGATTCTGCGGTTGTGATGTTCAATCATGATTAGATCATTAAATAGGACATACGTTTGGTTTAAAGATGTGCCCCTTCGAAGAATGCAAGTTTAACACAATCATGATTTTACTTTAAAGTTCAAAGTATTTCAGAATCCTTAGGCATTTTTCATTGTTGAAAGTTGGGTATAACTGAATAAAAAATTTTACCTGAAAAAGCCTAATTAATAAACAATACCTATTCATATCAGTATTAATTAATGAACAGGACGTTTGTCAGTGATTCTGCAATTGCAATGTTTGATCATGATTAGATCATTCATAGGATGTTTATTTGGTTTAAATGCCAACTTTTGTCAAGGGGATCAATCCCTGAAAATTAATAAATAAAATAAATGCCAAATTAGTTTGAAATTAATAAAAATTTGCCTTGAAAAAGCCTATTTTTTATGTAAAGTGTAATAAATAATTTTGCATATTATTATTTATAATGCATTGGCAACAATTCAATGGGCCCTCAGCTTAAAGATGTTTAAATAACCATTAAATTGGTTTCTTTGTTTTAACGCCCTTTCTTTTTATTCAATTTCTTCAACTGAATGTTTGATCATGATTTTATTGATTTATTTGTTTTAAATAAAAAATTTTGTCGAGGATCATTCAAAGCTAATAAAGATAATTACAATCATGATAAACAGTACAGACAAATAATTTTAAAAGGGGTGTCGGTGGCCGCAATGGCTAAAGTAAAGGTCCCCGACATACTTAGAAATGGACTTTATCAAAAATACCGGCACCCCCAAAGAATCACATAATCTATGCTAGTTGAAATACCCTTGTTTAGACAAATAATAATAATTTTAGTTTATATCTTTTTTGCTTTAAATGACAATTTTGTACAGAATCAATTGTTTAAAAAATTGTGTGTGAACTAAATGAAAATTGAACCTGAATAAGGCTAGTTTTTTGTTAGGCAGTTTAATAAATAATAATTATCCATATCAATATTTATTAATCAAAAGAACATTTATAATGTCCAGCTTGTATTGGTAGCGATTTGATGAAAACTTAGCCTAAGGTTGTTTAAATAAACATTAAATTGGTTCCATTGTCCTTATGCTCTTGCTTTTCCAAGATTAATGTTTGCACGCTTAGATAATTAAATAGAACTTATTTATCTAATAAAAGTTTTTAAAAGCCAAATTTTTCAGGGATCAGTCACTTCAAAGTATTAATAAATGTTTATCATAATCATGATTACTCCATAAACAGGTTTAAATATATTATTTTTTATTTATTTATTTTTGCTTTAAATGCCAAATTAGTTCAGAATCAGTTTAATATTGAAAAAAAGTTTTGGACCTGAATAAGCCAAAAAAATTTTTCTTTTTATTTCTTTTTGTCAGAAAATGTTGTAAATAATAACTAGGGACTGGATTTATATGTATTCACATATTTTTTTCTGAGCCCTGTGCGCTGTTTTGAAACCTTTATTTCATGTTATATGCTATTTAAAAGCAATTAAGCCATATTTTATTTTACTATTTGTAAATATTTGGAAGATTTTTTAGTCCATATTTAAACAAAAATGAGCAAAAAATAAGAAAGATTTCATGATTTATTTTCAAAATCAAATTTGTTGTCATTGTTGATTTTTTCCTTAATGTGCTTTAAAGGTCAAATTTATTTTTTCAGAACTAAGCTAAAAACATCCTCAATAAAGTTTATTTACAGTAGTAAAGCTTTATTTTTCATTTACAAAATGTGGGAAAGTTATACCGATCAAATTTTGTTACCGTTGTCATATAAAAAGTACAGTTTATTTATATTATTTTAACTCCATTAAGGGTTCCAATGTTCTATCTTGATTTGCTTTTAATGCAAAATTTATCGGTTATTTATTTCCCATGTTTAGCATAAATACTAATATATTTGATACAAGATGATTTTATCCATATCATTATTGATCACAGACAACATTTATTTATTTTGCATAAATTTACAATTAAAACGTTGCCACAAAACTAAGTTTCATCCTATCTATTTGTATTAAAACTTGAAATGTGATCAGGTTTAGATCATGAACAGAACATTTAAATAATATGTTTCATTCTTTTTTTCATTTCTTAAAATCCTTGCCATTGATGAATATTGAATACAAAAGCTTCTTTTTCAAAGTTTTTATGCAATCCAAATTTTTGCCTTTCAAGTCGGACTATATTCTGTTGGCCTGTGTGAATCATACCCATTTATAAAACAAAAAACAGGCAAAATTAGCAGAGCAGAATTATAAAATATGGTTAAATAACAGGTTGAACATTTCTCACATCTCAAAGCAATATTTCACATTTTTATTATGATGCTATTATTAAAAAACAAGTAATCATTTCACTCTGTTTTTAGAATTTGTCTCTACGCCCTGGCAAGACTTCAGGATTTTATTTAATAACCACAACAAAATTTTATCGCAATATTAAAATTCATGGAGGGTGCATGGGAGACGATGGGATTTTACGATCATAATCGCAAAGTAAGCATGGTAAAATAGTTAATACTCTATGCTTTAAATTCATTAATTTATAGTGGGAACATGGTGATTTTACTCTTGCCCATAAGTACACAGACATTTCTCATCTTCTGCACATGGTTTGTTGGTGGTGACTCAGAAATGTAGCACAGATCAACGGTTAAGGGGTATTTCAGACCCGTCAGATAGTAGCAGCCATGTGATACTATGCCAGCTACATCCTTGCTTTAAATTTATTTATCCTACAATTTTCCTAACAAAGGGCTTTATGCTGTAAATTGCTATTGACAGTTTTTTTAAAGCTTATGTATATAATGTATCCTCTGATTATCCAAGATGCTATTTAAATTTCTAAGCCATTTAAGTAATTTTTCTAATATTTGAATATAATCCTAGCCCTTATCTCATTCAATTTTATGCCTGTATCAAATTAACTCCTTTATAACATTTTTACATCGACTAGGTCCTCACCGAGTCTTTTGATACCAAATGTAGTAGAATTGAAAGTGTTTCTTTTACACTGCCTGGAACTTCTTGAACTGATGGAATACAAATTCATTTGTTTATGAATATGAGTGTAATTAATTGTCCGACCCACTCAATCTTCAAATCCCTTTGGAAATGTAGATTCTAAATGGACAACTCTCATTTTTTTTTTAAATATGCAAAGAATATCTTGTACATAAAGAAAAAATGGATTTTGGCCATTGGAGAGATTATAAAAACACAATCATGACAACTCTTCAACTTTCTTTTGGCACTGAATGTTGGGGTGCATTATTAATTCACTTTTGTAAATATAGTTAAAAATAAAATATATAACGAAAAGAAAAATTAAAAGTAGACTTGTAAAAAAATCTTTTTGTATCTGATTGGTTAACACTTTCGTCTTTTTTTATTTGTTTTAATTTTTTATTTGTTCTTTTACCTTTTTTTCCTCCAGTATTCTTCTAACTTTTAACCTAATCTCAAAAAGCTGGGATCTGGACCAAAACATAGTAATATATTAGCGTACTCATATTTTTATTGTTGTTATAATTATTGTATAAGAAATAAATTTGTTTTTGAAAAGCTGATCGCGTTTTAACACATAATTATAACTGGCTGGGTTGGGATCAACGTGTGTTTTTATATGTTAATTGTAATTAATTGTATTAGTTATTTGTATTAAGTTGATGTTGTGTATCTAAAAAATATATAAAATAAAAACTAAAAAAATACAAAAAAAAGCAGTTGAGAATAAACTGTGTGCTGGGATTGGACCAACAAAAGATTCATATTTAAAAATATTGTAATAGATCTTATTAAGTTGATTCGTTTGTTATTATATCAACAACAGAATTTATTTTACTGTTGTTAGGCTGGGTTTGGACCAATTTTGTAATTATAATTACCTATATCATATGTTATTTGGGGTGGCTTTTGTTTTATTTGAAAATGTCATTGGAATTTTGATTGAACATTTTTCAACAGCAGATAAATTTGGTTATTTGCTGTCAATCAGCTGGGGTTGGACCAACATAGAAGTTAAAAAGTAAATAAAAGTTAATGAAAATAATGTAGATAATCTGCAAATAAATACAGCTATAGGCTCTTCAAAACCAATCTTTTAAGTTTTATTATTTATTTCTTCATTAGGTGATTTGATAAAATTTTTCAATTGTATATTTACTGATGGATAGTTTTTATATAATTTATATTTCAATTGAGTCGGCAACTATTAATTATTGCCTCGAGGACAATAATTTAATTATTATTTTATTGTTATTAAATTTTTATATATATTAACACTTTTATTAAGAGAAGCTTAGGTTAACTCCATTTATCCGTCCTAGACATACTCTATAAAATCCAATTTATTTGTCTTTTACGTCTTTAATATATCAAATCACTATTTTTCTTTTGACTGTATAGAATATTTATACACTTGTAAATAAAAAAATATGCGTTAATATTATTTTTTTTAAATTAGTTTGGAGAACCTAAAGTTGTTATATTATTACTATTTCAGTTTGTAAAATTTGATTTCTTGTTGATGAAAATGTTTGGAATTTTTTTTTTACTTTTTTTCACAGCAAAATGGGTCTTACAGATTTAACAATTTTGCTGTCGAAAAGCTGGGTTTGGACCAACAAACATAAAATAATAAAAGAGTTGTACAAAGTCTTAAGTAATCTACGATTTCTTGAATTGCACTTGATTAAAATGGAGAGGAAAAAAACAATTATTACAGCAAATTTAAATTCACCGATCATTTGCTGTTAACAGGCTGGGTTTGGACCAAAATAAAATATTAAAAGAATTGTTTAAAATACAAAAAAATAGAGAAACCTTATTATTGCATCACTTATAAAATGATTAGCTGTTTATTGTCTCACCTCAACCTAAAATTCCTAATTTTAATTAGCACTAAAAATTAATATGCGATTAGTCACTTTGAATTTGCATGAATTACTAATTACTAACAAATCTTAGACTTACAATAATTAATAGTAAACTGTATGTGTATATCTGTAGTTTTGACGGTTTAAGACTGTAAATTTCAAACTAAATTTGGGTGTTGTATAAATGTAATGTGTAAATAAAGGAAGTTAATCAAAAAATATTACTTAAAAGTGTACATAAATTGTGTTTAAAATTATTTTATATACACCTTCTAGGAATGCTATGATAAAACTTGTTTTTTTTTTTATCCATTAGTGTTTTGCGTAGATATTTGCTTGGTGTTAACAGTTTGTGGATATGTACAAATAATAAATCAGTATATGTATATCCTGTGAAATGCAATAAATGGATTTTCGGTTTGTTTATTTATTTATCTTATTTTTTTAACAGAAATGTTTTTTAAGTATTTTTTCTATTAAAGAAATAATTTACAAAAAAATTATATTTTTGAAACTTCATAAAAAGAATAAAGTAATTTACCAAAAATTCTCTGTGAAAAAAAAACACTTTTGCCCTGTATTTGTAATATTGAATTGAAATGTTTAAATGAGTTGATGTAATTTATAATTACTGTGTAAATAAATAGTTTGGGATTAATTGCATTTTCTTTTGTCTAAAATAATGTAACCCATAGAATTTCTTATGACTTAGTTTTATTACAGTAATCAACATTTATTTTTGTTTTAATAGTATAAATATATTCTAACTTGTGTTTATTAAAATCAGTCTGGTTTAGTTGTTCAGACAATTTTATACACAATTAATAGTATATGGGTGGTATATATAAGGTGGTTCACAATAAGATTTTAAAAAAATTAAGCAGTTGCGACAGAATTTTCACATACCGAGCCACTCCTGTATATTTTAGTGTATTAATCTTCTAATAAGACATGCAGCTTATTAATAATAATTTAATAAGTTATTAAAGCTGGATGTCCTGATCTCCACACATACTGCAATCCGACCCTCTGAAGTTACACATGTAATAAAGAACATGATTAAAAGAAAATAGCAGTATTGATGGGCCAGATCAACAGAGAAGCTCTCTCATATCAAGGGCACTGTTGATAGCCCAGAGGATCTTTACTGCTATTTAAATTGTGTCAATTTTGATGAACATCCAAAGTGAATCATCCTTGAATATATATTTTCATCCAGTTATGTGTTTTCACTGCTCAAACGAGGGGGAACGTTTGTTTACATTTCTCACTACGCCTTCACTCTGGGTGAATCATCGGTTGGAAGAACGACTCTTTCATCAAAAGTTATTAGGGGGTCAACTTTCAATGTTCACTCTGGAGGAATTGAAGATGAATGACAGTTTACATTTGTCGCTTTAGATGATTCATCCAAGATGATCTTCCAAAGTGGCAAATGTAACTGAACCTTTGTTCTTAGTAGTGGGATCATCTTCGCCCGAATAAAAATTGCCCCCTTGCTTTTGGGCTAAAGCTTGCATATATGTCCGGTATGTAGAGAAAGGTTGCCTGATGTGTCCCTCTTAATTGAAGAAGTCATTCCTTGGCTCTATATAGATTTTTTTTTAGTCTAGTAGATCAACTCCCCTCCCCCAGCAGAGTATACCCATTTTTGTAGAACACCTTGTAAATTTTAGTGTATTCGTCTTAATAGAGCAAGTGGTAATCACTTTCTCTGGTGTTCCCCAAGGTTTACACCTTAGCCCCTTTCTATTTAACATCTTCCTCAACAATATTACTACTGTTCTTAACAACACGCACTTTCTTTTATTTGCCAATACCCTTAAAATTGTTCAAAAAGTTCATTGTGAACCAGACTTCATTTACATTAGAAAATTGGTGCACCAACAACTCTATGACCCAGAACATTGACATATATAGCACTATGTATTTCATTCAGTAGACCGTAAAACTCCCTGGGTCACCACTACACGAAAATTACAGCTCAGGAGAAAATAAATAAAAATATTTTCTGGTATGAACACTGGAGTTCCTTCTTTCTGATTCTCTCAAGACAACATTTCTGAATGGATGGCAGAATTCCAATGCATTTTTTCCAATATAAGGTCTAGCGATAACAAGAGGTTTGTGGAGCGAACGTTGACAAAGAGAGGTTTCTTTTGTACAAGAGGCTTGACAGAAATCTCATTGCGATCTGCTTGATGAATGAGAAACATGGAAGAACACTAAAACTGAGGGACTCCGCTGGCTCTTCAAACTCCACGGAGAACTTCTGTTCCTTACCTCTACCCGCTTGATTGGCTGCTAGAGGGATACAAAAATGTGCTCTCTATGCAATACAAGGGAAAAGGAAATCATCGTGCACTTTTTGGCTAAATATACCATTTTGAACGAGATGCGTGCTTCTTATTTGGGCAGTGCTGTACTCTCGGAAGAAAGCCTAGTCAAACTTTTAAATGAGCTGAGACTGCAGCTAATAAAATTCGCTCGCCTGGTTTTACTGCTGGGAACTGGTACAAGAGTTCAATTTTTGATTTATTAGAAGAAATTTTTACTTAATGGTATATAAATCTATCTTGTTCTATGTTCACCAGATTATTTTGTATTATATTTTATTCGCTATTTTATTATCTGTTTTAAATATTTTATCAGTAATCTCGACACCAAGCAGACGGATATTCCATTGCTGTAAATACTTATGTTCTTTTTTTAAAGGGTATATTTTGTTATTTGAAAATAATAAATTGACAAATAAAGTATTATTATTATTACACCCAATCCTATAAGTATTCAATCTACAATATTGAATAGAGTAAACATCATTTAAGATTTTGGTTTTGTCTTTCATCAGTCTATTTTCTTCAATCGTCCTATCATCCATGGTCAACAATGTCTTGACTATGTATTGTACAATTACAAAAATCACTATCTCAGCCTTCCTATACCCTTTTCTAGCCTGAATTGGGTTAGAATTCTGCTCCTTAATCAGAGATATCATATTTTTATTTGTAAAACCAGTGGTTTTCATTTTTGAAAATTTTGGTATAATATAAATGCAGAAACTATATTTTTGCCCAAATCTGTAGGAAAATGCTTGAGACAAAAATCATGGGAAAAAGGGTGGCATTGAAAGGGCATGCAGGCTTATGGCAAAATGAAACGGTGGACGCACTTGCAAAGGGGGCTGCAACATCAGGTCCAACCCTTGACATTAAAATTCCTAAAGACGACGGGAAAAACTTTTTGGAAAAGTTTTGTAGAAATCTGTGGCAAGAAAAATACAACGCATCAAATGTCGGCAATTATTACAGGTCACTGTTCGCTGAGCTCAAGAAAAAAACCATGGTTTTTGGAAGGCGATAGCCCAGAAGGAATGTCAAAGGAGTTCTATTCTACTATTTTTAGACTGAAGACAAATCATGGCCTATGGGGTAGCTACAAGAAGAGAATCGGTTTGGCATCGTCTCTGAACTGTCCCACTTGCATTTAGGCCCTTCAAATCCTTCCCACATAATTTTTGAATGTCCAGAATACGAAAATGAAAGAGATAAACTGCTAAAAAATCTGAGCAAAGCAAAAATTTCCAAACCAATAAACTTAGAATCTGTTCTAATAAGCAACAATCCATCAGCATTCAACATAATCTATGGATTTCTAAAGTGGATAATTTAAAAATTTAGAAGATGGTGGAGCTGAGAGAGTGTGTGCGGCGGGGATCTGGTCCTGGTCAGCCGATCCTGCTCGACAGTAAAATGAAAATAGAAAACTTCATGGGTAATATGCCAGCGTAAACCCCCCCCAAAAAAAATTTTTGTCTGGCGATCTGTTTTTTTATGGTCTAATCTCTCATGGTTTTCATCTGCCAGACCAAATTGGTCAGAAAATATAAAAATAATTTTTTGTGAGATTTCCTCTTATAGTAAAGATTTATTGTCAGATTTCCTCTTAGGAGGGGTCTGCAGGGTACACCTGAGGTTTGGTGGTTTCCAATCATTTTTGTCTTCATACCCTTGCTGTTTTGGTCTGTCATATACATTTGGACTTTTGCCGTCTTAATTAGGGAACAAATCTGTGTCTGACAGGACAAGATGATTGGAAACAACGTAAGTTACTGCAACGATAGCTCAATTGGTTAGATCAGTGGTGTTGCGCCACAGGACATGGGTTCAAATCCCTCTCACAACTTTTTTCTTCTGAACCAAGATAAAAAGTATAATCCATTTAAACTTTCGTTTATAATTAGGCATATGACCAAGGAAAATTGTTGACCACTCAACATTTTACATCATGCCAATTGTCCATTACCTTTAATATTGGCTCATAAGGACCAATTAATATCATCACATAAATTTAGCTTGAATTTTTACTAGTTTTAATCATTTATTTGCCTGGTTTTCTTTCTGAATATTTGTACATGTGATGTGTTTTTGTGTACTCCAACAAACTTCCAAGTTAGATTATTTTTATGAAATCTACATAAAGAAAATTTCTTTCTTTTTATCAAGTCATGTGACTTGTAATGATTTTTTTATAAATTGAATTTTACTTTAATAATTAAGCTATATTTTCATTGTTGAATTTGTTATTTGAAAAAGTCTAATTTTGTGGATTAGGACTAGGATTAAGAGGAATGGAAACAATAAAAAAGTCAAATAAATACAATTTATGTTTTATTTCCCATTAAATCTAAAAATTTACCAGTTCTGCAGATGGGAATAAATACTTTGGCCTAGTGCATGCATAGGTATTGCCAGTCAAAGGCTCAAAATATCCGTTTAGAGGAACCAACAGATAACATGGATTGATTGTATTACAAATTTTCAAAAACCTACATTTTCTAAATTTTCTTTTAAAAATAAGCAAAAACTTAGAAAAGAAGCACATTTGAGCCATGTGAAAAAAATTGGAATGCAAACAGTGTCTTTTTTGTTTTTTTCATTTTAAATATATATATAAAATATTTTTTATAAAGATAACTAGTAATAGAAAACTGTTGAAAAAATAAGCCCGTACAAAATTTGGGCAGGAATGAGATTGAAATGACTTTAAATAATTATTAAATAATGGAAGAGAATTTACAAAACCCTTGTGTTCGGGAAATGCAAAACCTAACTCACCGACATATTAAACAAATATAATACAAAAGATAAAGCCGATTGAAATACATTTAGAAACATTTCCTGTGTACGATGGATGGGCCAGATTCATCATATTCTTGTTTGGAGATCCACATCTGTTGGAATGTGGAAAGTGAAGCGAGGATGGAACCTCCGATCCATACAGAGTATTTCCTTTCTGGTGGAGCGATAATTTTGATCTTCATAGTTGAAGGAGCAAGAGACGTGATTTCCTTCTGCATCCTGTCAGCGATGCCTGGGTACATGGTGGTGCCTCCAGAAAGGACAGTGTTAGCGTACAGATCCTTACGGATATCGACATCACACTTCATGATCGAGTTGTAAGTAGTCTCGTGGATACCGCAGGCTTCCATGCCAAGGAACGACGGCTGGAAGAGAGCCTCAGGGCAACGGAACCGCTCGTTGCCAATGGTGATGACCTGCCCGTCGGGAAGCTCGTAAGATTTCTCCAAAGAGCTAGAGCTGGCGGCAGTCGCCATTTCTTGTTCGAATTCCAAAGCGACATAGCAAAGCTTCTCTTTGATGTCACGGACAATTTCCCTCTCGGCAGTGGTGGTGAAAGAATAACCACGCTCGGTCAAGATTTTCATAAGATAATCGGTGAGATCTCTACCGGCCAAGTCAAGACGAAGGATGGCATGAGGGAGAGCGTAACCCTCATAGATCGGGACAGTGTGAGAAACACCGTCTCCCGAATCCAACACGATACCAGTCGTACGACCAGAAGCGTACAGGGATAGCACAGCCTGGATGGCGACATACATAGCCGGGGTGTTGAAAGTTTCAAACATAATCTGGAAATATAACACTAAATTAGTACTAGTTTTATTTTTTTTTTTTATTTATTTTTTTTTTTTTTTATTAACCTGAGTCATCTTTTCCCTGTTGGCTTTAGGGTTGAGAGGGGCTTCAGTGAGAAGGACTGGATGTTCTTCAGGGGCAACACGAAGTTCATTGTAAAAGGTGTGATGCCAGATTTTTTCCATATCGTCCCAGTTGGTGACAATGCCGTGTTCGATGGGGTATTTCAAAGTAAGGATACCCCTTTTGCTTTGGGCTTCATCGCCGACGTAGCTGTCTTTTTGACCCATGCCAACCATCACACCCTAAGTTTTATTTTTAAGTTTAGTTTTTCTTAAATTGTCAATTTAATTAAAAATAATAAGTCTGAAGCTTACTTGATGCCTGGGTCGGCCGACGATGGATGGAAAGACGGCACGAGGAGCATCGTCCCCGGCGAAACCGGCTTTGCACATTCCGGATCCATTGTCAACGACCAATGCGGCTACTTCGTCGTCACACATGTTGTCTGAGGTTTATGTCGGGGAGCTGGAAAAACGAAGAAGTCGCTATAGTAAATAAAGAATCCGTTTCTGAGTCGAAGCACACTAGAGTAATCCAAGGCACAAAGAACCACTGAGGAGACCACACCCCAAGGCACAAGAAACACTTACTGGGTTTTTGAATAAATAAAAACGGCTTAACTACCGTCGAGTTTCGAACAGATACTGAATGCAGCAGGAGCTGGCAAATGAGTAATATACTCCTTGGCATCCCCACCAGTGAGACGGCACCCCACCCATCCGCCGTGCCCCTTCCCTCATGCTAATAAGGACATCCAATGTGGCGTCCAATGAGGGATTCTTGACCATATATGGTCAGATAGTGTGGCAGGACGTATTTTCAAAAAATCCCCCGAGAATAATCAGATTTTTCAAATAGTCGGCCGGTCGGGTTTACACTCGATACACCGGCCGAGGAGCGAGTCGCTACCTACCCCAAGCCGGGTCGGTTGGTAGTCCGCGATTTTTATTTTTAGTTTTTAATTTTAAACTTTTAATAATAGATCAAAGAAACGCGTAAAAATAGAACTTGAACTTGTAAAACGGGATACGGAGATAAACATGGGACACGTGCCAAGACGTATTTTCGACCCGAAAAGGCCGGCCGGTCACGCCAAACTCCTATAAGCCGTTTTTCTTATAAACAAAGTGCCAAACACAAAAATTAAAAAGTACATAACAATCCATTAAATAAATTACAAAAATATAATAAAAAACAATAAAATATAGTTATTAATTTACCTTGAAGAATAAAAAAAGAGACGAAAGCTGGAAAGCAATGCTACCACCTGAGCTCAACTGACGGGAGTGAGTGAACAGTGAAGGAAAATTGAACCGTTGGAAGTTCCAAGAGGGAATGGGATCGGCCGGAGGTGCAGACCCGTCGGTTCGATATTCAAAAACCCTTTATTTTATTTCAACGGAAAACGTCCCTTTTCAAAATCGAAAAACTTCTTGAAACACTCTCCAATTCGAAAACTTCGAGAGGAGAAAAGAGAGGATTTTCTTTCAAACGTTATTATTGATATTATGGGAAAAAGCCGGTTTAGAAAGGGCGGTAAGGTTTTGGAGAATGGGATCGCCTGGATTCCCCCACCGTAAGAAGCTACGAGTGCCTTTACTCTTACCATATATGGGCATAAAACGGATAGACGAACCTCATTGGCCGCTGGCTCACCCTTTCCACTCTCTCACGCAAACAATCGCATATACACCAATACTAACGCAATCGTTTCAATGTTTTATCATAACTAATATCAAATTTATTTATTTAAAAAAAAAACTTAATTTTCATCATCACTCATCACTTAGTAAAAATAACAAAAACCCTAAAAAACTATTACTTTCATTTAAAAAAACCTTTTAGAAAGCCAAGATTTGAAAGATTCTCAGAAATAACGATGACCGGTGAAACATTCCTAAGAATTTAATGATTTATCATATTATAAAATTCAAATCAACTTCCCTTTAAATTGTTTCTATTCCGTCATATCCTCTAATTACATTGTACACAACAACAGTATAAAACCATGAAACACTTCTTAAAATTTGCTAACCAATTTTTTTAAAAATTTGTTTTGAATCCACCGAGTTGAACTAGTTTCTCAATTGTTTATTGTTATTTTTTCATACATGCCCCCAGTTTTTGAACGATTTCAATACCAAATTTCACAATTATAAGAAAATTATTGTTTTGTTTTCTTCAGAAACTGTTCAGTATTTGCAGGTAGTTCAAGCAATTAAAGAGATTCCTCAGGAATCGTGCACTAAGCTAGTTTGATCCAGGCTCGTCAGACGACAGAGTACCAAGTCTAAGTTTACAATCCAATAATCCTGAATTCACAAGAAATTCCTTTCGTTCAAAATACCATCCATGTTTGCACTGTGTTAAAATTTAAAAACATTCAAACGGAATTTATCTAAAATTCTTAACTCATCTTTGTACTGTGTGAATTTAGGATAAAATAAATAGTTTCGTCCAGGTTCGTCAGACGACAAGTACCAAGTCTAAGTTTACAATCCATCCTTACTTTACGAGAAATTCGTTTTGTTTAAAATACCTTTCTTGTTTGCTGTGTGTTAAGATTTAAACACTTACCATCCATGTTTGCACTGTGTTAAAATTTAAAAACATTCTAATGGAATTTATCTAAAATTCTTAACTCATCTTTGTACTGTGTGAAGTCAGGATCAAATAAATTGTTTCGTCTAGGTACGAAAGACGACCGATTACCAAGTCTGAGTTTCCCATCCAATAATCCTTAATTTACAAGAAATTCCTTTTGTTCAAAATAACCTTCATGTCTGCACTGTGTTAAGATTTAAAAGCTCTTAACTCTTCTTTGTACTGTGTGAAGTCAGGATAAAATAAATTGTTTCGTCCAGGTACGAAAGACGACCGAGTACCAAGTCTGGGTTTCCCATCCAATAATCCTGAATTCGCAAGAAATTTGGTTTTGTTAAAAGTACACTTCATGTACATGTGCACTGCGTTAAGATTAAAAAGATTCTAATGGAATCTATCTAAACCTCTTAACTCATCTTTTTACTGTGTGAAGTAGAATAAAATAAGTAGTTTCGCCCAAATTCATCAGACGACCGAGTACCAAGTCTGGGTTTCCCATCCAATAATCCTGAATTCACAAGAAATTCTGTTTTGTTGAAAGTACACTTCAAGTACATATGCATTGTGTTAAGATTAAAAAGATTCTAATAGACTGTTTCTAAAACATTTTACTCATCTTGTATGTGTGTGTGTGTGTGAGGTTTTGGATAAAATAAGTCGTTTCGTTCTGGTTCGAAAGAAGATCGAATAACAAGTCCAAGTTTATACAATTTATTATTGAATTTACACAATTTTTTTTCTATTCAAAATTCCAGAATTTAGGAGTAATTCTATAGTAAATAAAATACACTTTGGCCATATCAAAACTCTGTCAAGAATTAAAAGATTCTAATGGAAGTTTCGCTGAAATAAGTCGTTACGTTCAGGTTCGAAAGACGATAAAATAGCACGTCTGGGTTTATACAACTAAGCATTACTGAATATACAAGAAAATTTCTTTTTTTTTTAGAGTAAATTTTATTTATATTTTAACCGTATGGATTTTTGAGTAAAATAAGTAATTTTGTCCTGGTTCGAAAAATGACAGAATACCAAGTCTAAGTTTACATTCCAATTATCCTGAATTTACAAGAAATTCTGGTTTGTTCAAAGTACACTTCGTTCATGTTTGCACTGTGTTAAGTTTTAAACGATTTCAATGGATTTTTGTTTAATAAAACAGATTGCTTTTCAGGGGTTGAAACGACTACATAATCGATGTCTGAGTTCACAATTCAACATTCTTAAATTTACTAGAAAATTATTATTTTTTTAGATTACACTTTGTGTTTGAACTGGGTGATGTTTTTGGTAAAATAAGTAGGTCGTTCAGAGATGACAGAATAGCAAATCTAAGTTTATAAAATTCAACATTACTGAATTTACAAGCAATTCTATAAAATTCATGGTCAAGTTCAAAAAGTGTCAAGAAGTAAAAGATTCTAATGAAATTTTGCTGAAAAAAGTAGTATCGTCCAGGTTCGAAAGGCGACAAAATATCTAGTCCAAGTTAACAATTATACAGTCTTATACAGTCCTAAATGTATAAGTTATTATAAAAACAAAATTAAAAACGATCTGGTCATGTTAGAACTTTGTCAAGAATTAAAAAAATTCTAAGGGAAGTTTTACTAAAGTAAATAACTTCGTCTAGGTTCAAATAATAACCAAGTATAAGTTTACAGTGTAATACAAATTCTTAACTTTGCAGGGAATTTTAGAGTTTTTTAGACATTTTCTGTGATCATGTTTGAAATATTGCCAAATAAGTACCAAGCCTACGACCCAATATTCCCGAATTTACCCGAAATTTAATTATTTTACGTTCTCTCTGATCATCTTTGAACTGAACGTAGCATTAACAATTTCTAATGAAATTTCTATAAAATAAAAATAAAATTGAGTACAAAATTTTTCTTGCAAATTTGCAAGACAAAATTTATGTACCTATCTGGTCATATTTGGGCAGTACCAAGCATCAGGACATTCTAGGAAAGGTTTTGCGTCAAGGATCGAACGACGAAAGAATACAAATAACATTCAATCGATGAATACTGAATAGCAAATATTTAAAGACTGATAGAAATTTGAAGAATATTTATTACAGAATTTAAAAAAAAATCATTTTATTAATTTACTTCTCAAAAATTTGCACTTGAAGTTGGCGAGAAAGAACCGTTTAATAAAGAGTGAATCATCGCTATGATTAGTGTTAATATGGCATTTTCGAAAAATAAAAAATACTATATTTGTAATTAAATTTTAAATAATAACGTATGAGTAGGCAATCGACTAAAAACTTCAAAAAAGTCGGGTTTCATTTATATGAGCCTAAAAAATGGTCAAAACTTTGTTTTTGTTTAATTAATTGTATTGTTGTTGTTTTTTTGACAAAATAAATCAGCTAAATAATGTGTTTTTACAATTAAAAACGTCATTTCCCCTTAAAACACTCGATGTTAATGGGTCGGAATTGCTCATAAAAGTGTGAATCACGCAATGACTAGCGACGGGATGGCATTTTGAAAGTAAGTTTTCAAACCTAGAAGCTTAAGGAGAAGAAATGTACAAAATCAGTGACAAATTTTAAAATTTGTTGTAATGTCAGAATAACGAGGCTCAAAATAGTATATTAACATCCTGCTATTTAGCTTTATCGCCTTTTCTCTTTCTCTCTCTCCTTTTTTAGAAATCATTAAAAGATAGTGTCTTGCGGATATGGTTTTTGTTATTTTCAAATGGGAGGTTCGAATAATGTATCAAATGATAAGAGTCGCCAATAAAATAAGAACAGTTAAAATTCAAAAATTCCACTAGCTTATAATCAATGTAAAATAACTAAATCAAGGCTTAAGATGAAATATTCAAATATTTTCAGTTAAAAAGAAAAAAGATTTTTTTAGAGAAATTTACATGCCAAATTTACTACCGTGTTTTTTTTTACTAATCCATTTTATTTTTCGATTTGTTCTTCTCTCGAGAAACACTCGGCGGGCCGTTTCGCCCAAAATTTTGCTACAACACTCGAATTGAATAACTGTGTTAAATAAAAAAATAATTTTTGAGGGAGGAAAAAAATTAAAACAAGGGGGGAAAAATCTCTAGCCAACTAAAGGTTCAAACTAGGAAAAAAGCTCTTACCTTTATATAATTTCGCCAATTTTTAAACCTAAATTATTAATCTAATGAAATCGAATTTTTGTTTTTCTACTTCAAATAACCTTAAATTGGACATATGATATGTAAAGGCGTGAAAATCACATGTAATTTTTTTTTATTGTTCATTTTTATGCCCTGGTTAATTTTCTTTATCGGTCCCACTCTCGAAAGGCACAAGTGTTTTTTCAAGGATTATTGGAGGATGTCGGACGAAAAATTTTATTTTAATTTGTTGAAATTCATATTTGTTTAAAAATTAAATAATTACGATGAAAACGGCTTTTTGATAGTTTTAAAAGGAAATACACAGCCATATGATGTTTTAATTTTCTGATGGGACTTTTTCCTATTGGGAATTCAGGATTTAAACCACTTAAGCGGCCAAAATTATTATTTTTTAAAGAAAAAAAATAACACAGTTATGCTTTGTTTTAAGAAAATAGTATAGTAAGTGTAGGAGTAGTAATGGTACGTGCTTAGTAAGAACTAGTGGGATGAAGCATAGACGTCAATGAGATAAAAAATGACCCATTTATTCAAATTTAAAAAAATTATTCTCACTGTTCTTATTACAATTTTAGTCAT